AAAAGGCGATCGTATATCTCTCGATCACGCAAAATATTAAGCCGGAAGCGGGTTATTGCATCGCCGGCTTGCGTGACCCTGGGATGATCTGGATCGCCCTTCGTCGTGCCTTTTCTGGTATGACAATCGACCAGGTATCGTCGGTCCTAGACGATCTATCTGCGATTCGATACTCCGATCATGGAGATGACTTCGTGGCGCGCTACCGCCTTCTAATGGATCGTGTGGAGTGCCAGAAGATTGATTACTCTGCGATGAGTCGGATTTACAACTTCTGAGCGGCAATCAGGGCTTCTTTTCCGACCCTCCACCGCGAAATCTCACGAGATTATAACCGTGGGATCTACTCGACGACAGAAAACCTCATCTATCAGCTTCAGGAGGAGATATACATCCGTAAATCGCAGGATGAGACCTTTGCGACCCATATGGGCCGATCTCCTGCCCCTTCTGCTGCTCATGTCACTCCTGCCAGTCCTGCGGGCGCCAACAAAGGCAACAAGCAGCGAAAGAAGAACAGGGACAAAGGAGGCTCTGGAGGTGCTCGGGGACCTGATCAGAAGGATCCTGGCGCTTCAAACACTACAGTTGTGTGGTGCTTTGAGTGTGGAGAGCTCAACAAGAAGAAAGGGCACAATGGCTGCAACCAACGCATCTTGAAGCAGGTGTTACAAGCTGCTTCAAAGGGAGCTGCGAACGGCTCTTTTAGGGGATCATCTGGTGCTGGCGGTACTACTCCCGCTACTCACTGGTGCCGTGAGACTTCTGCGGCTGCAGGAGACCATGGTGTCGCTCCTGCGAGAACTACGAGCAACGTCACGGTACAGGAAGCATATTTTAACGTTCCTTGCGGCGCCAATCAGGTGGATATTGACCTCAGTGTCCCCTTCCAACCTGAAATTCAAACTGAAGCTCACGCTCACGCCATCTCTGCCGCCTCTGATCGATGGCTATTCGATTCTGGATCCACGGTTCCTATTTGCAACCATAAGAAGTGGTTCATTTGTCTCCAAATAGACCCTGACCTTCTTCCAATTGCTACAGGTGGTGGCCCCGTTCAACCACTTGGTGTTGGCAACGTGGAGATCGATTTTGTCACTTCTGAAGGCAGAACAGTTACTCGATTGATCACAGACGTGCTCTACGTGCCCTCCTTCCAGATCAACCTCCTCTCTGGCGATCAATTATATCGTCAGGGTTGGTATCTGATGATTCGGGATCTATTTGACTCTGCTGGCACCTGGGTGACATCCCTTCACAGCGGCATGTATGTGAAGGTAATCACTCCACTGCTACAGAAGGAGTCTTACGACATCATACACGCTCCACAGGCATTTGTCAACCTGTTCTCAGCTGAAGGAGAGGAAGAAAGTGATCCTGGTGCCCAATTGAGGGCCAAAAGGGAGGCTATGAGGCTCCTTCACCTCTGGCACACGAAGTTGGGCCACCGATCGATTGGCGATATCGTCAAAACGGCCAAAATCGTCAAAGGCATCGATCTACCGCCAAATACGCTCGAATTGACAAAGGAATTCACCTGCTTGGACTGTCTGGAGACGAATCTCCGTCGAATGGTCTCCCGAATCGAGCAGGAACACCCTGATCAGGCCCTTGACGTGGTTCACACTGATACCGCGCACCATTCGGCTGAAGGATACGATGGTTCTAAACGAGCTACAATGCTAGTCGATGGCAAGTCACGAAAACGTGAATATCATCCTCACGCGCGAAAGGGCGAGGCTTCGGACATCTGCATCTGTTATTGCAAGCGGATGAAGCTCCAGTACGGCCGCTACCCTCGCTGTTTTCGCTTGGATAACGGCACGGAATACGCCAATTTCGTCAAATGGGGCCGATCTGAAGGCATCGAGTTCGAACTGAGCGCTCCATACACTCCTGAGCAAAATGGGGTGGCAGAGCGCTCTCTCAGCGTGATTCATTCGTTTGTTCGAAGTGTTATCGAGCAAATGAAGCTGCCAGAGTCTCTCTGGCCGATTATTGGCCCTGCGGTGTGTGATCGGCTCAACGTGAGCTACACCTCCTTCCTCCAGAAAGATAACAGGACCCCAGATGAGGTCTTCTTCGACGATTTGACTCCTGGCAAGGATAACAAGCCTGATTTGAGCGATCTCCTGCCAATCGGGCAGGCTGCTGTGGTCCATCTGCCACGCCAGCGCCGCGTTCAGGGCAACAAGACAGCTCCTCATGCGAGAAAAGGGCGAATTCTTCGCTCAATTGGCTCTAATCAGTATCAGGTTTACTTGCCTGAATCACAGACAGTCATCACCAGTGCACATCTTGAAATTCTAGATGGGTACATCGCTTCTGGGGAATCAATCCACATTTTCCCAGACTTCCAAGGTACACTTAACAATTACGAGCGAACTATCCATAAGGAAGACAATCTAAAGAAGCCATTTTCTTCAGAGGGCGCTGACGATCTTCAGCATATATCGGATGAGTCAGATAAAGAAGATTAGGGCTGGATAAATGTCCCCGAGCCCGTCATCACTTTAGGCACTCCGGTCATCTCACCGGTCGCATCCGATGATGGCGGCGGCGACCCTCAATCGATACTCAGCGATTCTGAGCCCGATATTGGCCCAATTGTCACCCCGATTAGATCATCGGAATTGTCTCAGCGGAATCTATCTCATAGGCCGACTCTAGTACCGCGATCACAAGCTGGGATCAATCCTGGCAACGTGTTATCCGGAGGGCGCACCCGCGGGTCGCAGAACCACTACGTTTCTGAGATCACAATTCCCGGGATCTCTCCACATGCTACAATTCAGGCTTCCTATGCTAATTGGCCTTCTGCTGACCCTGATCAAGCGCTTCCTGAAACGGATGAACCTTCCAACTATCGGGAGGCGATGGCGTCAATTGAAGCACCTCAATGGTTAGAAGGTACTCATCTCGAGATAGGCGCGCTACTGCGTAACAAGACCTTTTCGGCACTCTGGAGGTCAGAAATGCCTCGAAATCGCAAGCCTTTGACCTCTCGTCACGTTTATAAGCGCAAGAAGGACCCGATTACTGGTGAAACAGCTCGACACAAGGATCGGATCACTGCTCGTGTGTTTATGCAGCGCCATGGTCTTGATTACTTCGAGACTCAAGCTTCTGGCGCACGCACAACCACCTGGAGACTGTTGTTGGCTCTATCAGCCATTCTGGATTGGGAGATCGACCAAATGGACGCCGTTTCGGCCTTCCTGATGGGAGAATTAGATGAGGAGATCTATATGGAGACCCCTGACGGCCTGGATGACTTCTTTGAGATGTATCCAGAAGAGAACACCATTGGTTGGCAACAAGGGATGATCCTCAAGCTCGAGAAGCCCCTGTATGGCCTCAAGCAGAGCCCTCGTCAGTGGCAGAAGCGCCTTCGCGGTGCGCTTCAGACACTTGGCTTTGAGCCTCTGATCTCTGATAACGCCGTCTACTACTCCAAGGAGCGTGGCATTTTCGTAATTAGCTACGTGGATGACTTCCTTATCCTGGGTGCCGACCGCTCTAAGGTTGATCTGTTCAAGCAGGATCTCTCTGTTGCCTTCGAAATGAAGGATTTGGGCGCTGCCCAGCACTTTCTCGGCGTTAAAATTGTCAGGGATTGTACGAAAAGCACTCTGTGGCTGTCACAGAGCACGTACATTCAACGCACTGCTGAAACCTTCGATCAGGCTCAAACTGGGCGTGTGAACGTACCCATCTCGCCTCAAACGGTTGAGAAGATGGACCAGGATGACACCGAGGATGGCGGTTCGCCCGAGGTAACTCACAAGTACCAATCCTTAATTGGCTCTGAGAATTTCCCTGCATGCTACACCCGTCCTGACATCTCCTACTCGATAGGGGTACTTTCGCAATACCTCCATCGCCCCGGAACTGCACAACTTGCTGCGGCTCAGGGGCTCCTTCGATACCTCTGGAAGACGAAGGACCTGGGCATTCGTTTTGGAGGCCCTAAATTCGCCAAAATGACCTCTGACGAGGTCACTGGCATCGTCCCATCCCTTTTACTTGGTTATTGTGATGCTAGCTACACTGGCAGTATCAAGGATGGTGCCAAATCAACCTCTGGCTACCTATTCACCTTTGCTGGAGGCGCTATCTCGTGGTCCTCGAAGCTACAGACTGTTGTGGTACAATCTACTGTTGAATCAGAGTATTATGCCATCAGTGAAGCCGTGAAGGAGGCTGCCTGGCTACGAGAGCTGATGAACGAGCTTGGATACACCCTGGACACCCTCCTATTGCACTCTGACAGTGCTGGAGCCATTCATTTGGCTCAGAATACCGAATTCCATCGCCGAACGAAGCACATTCGAGTGCGAGAGCATTACATTCGCCAGGAAATTCAGGCTAAGCACATCTCGCTGCAGTTCCTTGGTACTGACGAGATGCCAGCTGATGGCCTTACCAAGGCCATGCCAAAGGCGAAATTTGGCTCGTTCTTACAGCTGTTAGGACTCGTTGAAGTCAAATAGGGGGTTCAGGAGTGCTGTAGTACTCTAAGATCTAGGTTTTATGAACTGTTAGTTATAGTTGTGTGGTGGTGATGCCTTCAGTTTGAAAGGGCGTGTTGGATATCATACCAGGCTGAGGCTTTCGGGGCTGAATACGCTAATGGGTTTAGCCTCAGGGCAGTCAGCCCACCCTCAGGCCACCAGGATCCTGGCGCCATTATCGTATGATTATCTAGTCACCCTGATGGCACACCTGTACATATGGGGGCTTCTCCCCTAGAGATCTTCTTCTCTTTCCTTTCAATACAGAACGGTTTGAAATCTCACAATAGCTGACCTATCTGAGTCGCTATCTTCTTTCTTCTGTTATGGGCAACCCAAATCGATTCTGCAACCATGACAACCTCCACAGGGTCAGCCTCGTACTTACCACTCACGACTGTTTTCACGCTATCACCGGAATGTTCAAGCGCGTACGTGGCGGTTTGCATGGAGGGTTTCTGTTTCGGTTCCTATTTCCCACCCGAAATGACGCTTTCTTGCTACGCAAGTTGGGTTTCTGATACGGGTACTATGTACCCGGCATCCACATATTCGCCAGGCCTGTTCTGTGCAGCGGGCATGACAACCGGTACTAGTCTGGAATTGTACAACGGCGTCTTTTGCTGTCCGAGGTAAGTTTCTCAGACTCACTCATAGCTCCTCAGCACCAGCTAAAGCCAAGTGCACAGTGACCTGCCTTTCGCGCACCTTCTTTTTAAAATTATTTTTCTTGGCGCCCACTGTTAGTGGGTAGCCTACCCCAGCCAGCCATTACGCTAACAGACGCCTCCATCTGGCCAAAACACCAAGCCCCGGATCTCACGATCCTCGCTATGGCTTACCAGCCATTAGCTGCCGCCGTCCCTGCGACACCTCCCTTGGGGGACAGCACAGCGCAGCGGCACCCCCCGCCCCTCAGCTCAGCCGGGTGTCTGAGATCGCTCCACACGCGGAGAAATTCAACACGATGGGCCCCAATCCCAACGGTGCTTTTAAGAAGGGATAACAAGGACAAGAATAACACTGTCTCCAGAGCAGCCTCTGCCCCCATCAGCCTCTTCGCAAAGCCTGATGGTCTCAGTGCCTCCATACATGCTACCCAGGCCCAAAACTCGGCCCTACAAGCCCTGCACCAAGCAGTAAATGAACGACGCCGTAAGGAGAAAATTCAAACGGATATCCTGGAACTCGTTGCCGGATCCCTCGACACAGTCGTCGCGACCGTGGCAAAGGACCCAGAACAGCTGGCCTATGCCCAACAGATAGCCACCAGCTTTTCCCAGTTCCTCCGCACGAATGTATTCGCCAACAGCAAAGGACAGGAGCCGGCAGGAACAGGACCCCTGCGCAGCAAAAGAGGTGCCCAAGCGCACTCTACCACAGACCCAACAAAGACCACAAACAACCCCCTGTACGACCCACGTATGCAGGGGTCACCGCGAATGGCATCCAGTCCTAGGCAGCTGGAAACGGCCCTAAGAAACACGCCGGGACCAAACCACCGACGCAGAATGAAGACCTCCGTATCTTCATAAGGCTTCCAAAAGACCAGCTCGGCTGGTCGAGAACTATCAGCACATACGCCCTTCAGAAAACTATCATTAAGGAGCTAAACCTTGTGGCTTCTGATGTGGCAGATGCACACAGAATCCCTACCGGCTTGTCTCTTCGACCAAGGGATAAAACTGCACAAGGAAGGATCCTAGCACAAAAGGCAAAACTAACTTAGTTCACAAAAGCCACTGCAGTAGAACTACCCGTCAAGTGGCATACTTATGCCCTCCCGAACTGTCCAACTAGACTTACCAACATGGAACTTGAAGACGTGGAGATCACATCAGAAATGATCCTAGATGAATGCGAATTCCAGACCGACCGCCGCCCGGTTAATACATGCATATCAAAAAACGGTCTCAACGAGTCTGGCCAAGTCACATGGCTCGTTTCGTTCACCAAGAAAATAGGAGCCTTTAGAATCTTTGGCCTCTATTTAAGGTCTAGGTTTATCAAGAAGAAAAGCCCTCCCTTATAACATAACCCAGGATGCCAAGGTTGGCACCCTGCACAGCGGTGTGCCCGCCCTAGCCGCTGTGAAAGGTGCGGGAAACCAGAAGACGAAAGGCATGTATCTCCATGCACGCTCCCCCCTCAATGTGCCAACTGCATGGGGCCCAAAATCTCAACATATATAAACAGCCCAGCCATACCTAAGAGAATAGGAGGCCAGTTAGTCCACCCCTCGAACCAGAAAAGGAAGAAACTCAGGAAGTCATGTCTAAAGCTCTATAACGAGATAAACGCTATAAGGAACCCACCAGCTCCTCAAAGCCTAGCCCCGGTACTGGCGGCACCCTCTTAAGAAGAAACCACACCCAGCCCTAACATCCGAGCCATGGACAGCATCATAGTAGCAAGTATGAATACACCTAAAATCAACCTCACAGACGGTGAATCTACGTAAGAGGAGGGGCTAGACGAAGTCGATAACCTAGACAAGGAGGATACGGAGATGACCGGTCTACCCCCTCTCCCAAAGAATCACAACAGGGCACAGGATCCGTAAGGAGACCTCGCCACTAGCAAAATCAAGTCGACTATACTAGTAATAATATCAGCTCAGCCTTTGAGTGCCACTCAGACCTCTGGGACTAGGCTCCTCCAGGACCCTGACCAGAGACAAGGCGGTCAGAGGCACCGCAGACAGAGGATCAGTCCTTTCAGGATTGCTCAAGGAAATATCCAGAAGATGCACAAATCACATGCGGCTCTCCTACAGAACTGTTATGAGGCGGACATAGACGTGTTCCTGATTTAAGAACCGTGAGTCAGTGTAGATGGGAAATGCCGCTATAGTTCACACCCCTAATACGACACATACGTTCCAATAGACCATTGGTAGGGTACATCGGACAGGCCAAGAGTTCTGTCATATGTACGAAAAGACGCCGGACTCAAGACATAACAAAGCAGGCCAGCCCCGTCTAGAGACATTATCTGGCTCACAATAAACGGAGTCACACTTGTGAACTTCTACCGCCAAGGAGAGGAAGCACTAGATCTGCTGCTTGCCTGGCCACCTCCTGCCCACTGTGTAGTAACAGGAGATTTTAACGCAAACGACCCCTCTTGAGAACCAGGAATACCAAGAAGAGTCCGAGGCGGGGAAATTACACAATGGGTAGCAGGAAACCAGCTCTTGTATATTGGAGAACTGGGCGTCCCTACACACGACGATGGGCACGTCCTCGACCTGACCTTCTCGAATATCCCCTTTGCAACCGCAGTAATCAACTACGCTATACACGCAGCCGCAGACCACTGGTCACTGCAAATCATGATCCCATACAAAGGGAGACAAAGAGTGGCTCAACAGAGATACACAGTACCAGATGACAAACTACCAGAGTTCTGTGAGATAATACGTATGGGAACCCCGCTACCAAGCCTCAGCTCCAACCCCACAACAGAAGAACTTGACAAAGCTACCTCTGCTATTATAAACCTCATCACGCTGGCCCTCGAAACCGTTGGCAACAAGCCAAGCAGCAAGAGACAAAACGCTCCTTGGTGGGACGATGAGTGCAGGAAAGCAAAAAGAACGTAAAAGCTGGCAATGAAGCAATTTGGAATAAACACCCCTACAGAAGAAAAACGCGCGTATCAGGCGGTAGTACAAAAGACAAAAAAAGAATACTGGAAAGCCCGCATCAAAGGCATACAGAAAGACTCAGATCTTTTTAAGATAATCAACTGGCATAAGCTAGGTCCGGACATAAAATCATCACCACTAAAAGTCAGCAACTTGACAATAGAGGACACTACCAAAAAGGCATATGCCCTTAAGACGGCCTTACTAGACAGGCACTCGGCCAAAGACGACCTTGTACATGACCCGTTAGAGATTCCCATCGCCCCCCGCGCTGCATTGGAATGGGACTCTGCAATATCGCCAACCGAACTTGCTAAAATAGTTCTCACAGAAAACACAGCCCCCAGAATAGACTCTCTTTCAACACGGCTCCTCAAAGCGGCATGGGTCCACCTAGCAGAGCCGATTCGGCTGCTATTTCAAGCCTGCCTTAAAACAGAGCACTATCCCACCCCTTTCAAGTCAGCAGAGGTAGTCATGCTCAAGAAGCCGGGGGAAAAGGACTATACCACCACGAAATCATACAGGCTGATTGCTCTGTTATTATGCCTTGAAAAGGGCCTTAAAAGGCTAATTGCAAAACGGATGGCAACAACAGCCCTACTAAGAGAGGTGACCAGCCCAAACCAAATTGGGGCCCTCCCTAAGCACTCTGCGGTCGACCTTACTGCAGCAGTCACACACGACATCGAGTTAGCCCTGGAATCTGGGCAAAAAGTGCTTCTTGTCACCCTGGATGTATAAGGGGCGTTTGATGCAGTACTTTGCCAGAGATTGATCTTCAGGCTCCGCCAGCAGGGCTGGGCACCAGCCCTTGTAAAATGGGTAGATTCCTTCTTATCGGACAGAACTGCTCGGATTAGACTGGAAGGCGTTACTACTAAGGTATTTGGACTGAGCTGTGGGCTCCCACAAGGATCACTAGCTTCCCTGATCCTCTTCTTGCTGTATATTGCAGATATCTTCTTAGAGGATAAGCATAACAGATTTGGATATGCAGATGACGTCGGCATCTGAATAACGAGCAAAACCACTACTGAGCTAGCAGCTAAGGCAGCAAGCATGGTAGACGATATTCTACGCTGGGGCCTAGACAACAAGGTCACCTTTGAAGACTCCAAGGCTGAAGCCATCTACTTTAATACTGGGAGGAGACCTCTCACACCAGAAATAGTCACCCCCGGAGGCTTCACCATCAAACCAGCGCAGCCGGTGAAAGGGGCGGTGGTCCGCTGGCTGGGATTTTCTTTGACAGGTCCCTGAAGTTCCGGGAGCATGTCAAAAGACGGGCAGCCAAGAGCCTCGTCGTGGCCAGACATATTCGAAGTCTTGTAAACACTGCCAGAGGACCCTTAGCAGCAGCCCTCCGCAAGGCGGTAATTGCATGCGTGATTCCTATCATGACCTATGAGGCAGAGGTCTGTGGGGCCAGGGATTACAAGAGAACAGGAAACAATCAGACCCAGGATATGAGCACCCGCCAAAATAGCCACTCAGACGACCTCGAAAGAGTCCTTACAGAGGCCATCAGAGGGATTCTCCTGGTCTAGAAAACTATACCAAAAAAGGTACTCTTCAAAGAATCAGGCTTACCAACGATACAAACCATACTCAGCAAGATCCGGATGCGGTTCAGCCTGAGGATCAGAGCTATGGATAACATGCATCCGTTAGTCCAATGTGTTACAGCCCGGAACCCTACCGTGAGCAGAGGCCTGAGGGGTCTAGTTAAGATAACCGCAAGAACACGGCTTCAAAGGACGTATAAACTCACACCGGATTTTCCAAAACCAATCCTAATAGAACCAAGATATGCAACGAACACTGGCAAAACTGTCATAACAAGAAACAAAGCCAAAGAAACCAAAGTCTTCACAGACTGGCTAAAATTGCTTCTGCCTTCACACATAGTCGCCTACTCTCATGGCTCGAAATCCCTGGAGGGGGCAGTGGGCTATGGATACGTGATCTATAGAGGCCGGACAAAAGTAGCCTCGGGCTGTGACAGACTGGGCCACCCAGCTGAGGTCTTTGACAGTGAGGTCGAAGGGGCCCGCCACGCACTCAGACAGGCCCTGAGGCTCAGCAGCGGCGCCACACGTGTGCCTGGATAATACAGCAGTGATCTCCGGACTATGGAGGGAACCAGCTCAGAGCTCCCAAGAAGCTTTCCTAGAATTCCACGAAATCTCAGACACATACGCTGACGTACAGGTCCGGTGGGTGCCAGGGCACATGGACATTCAAGGCAACGAAGAGGCCAACAAAAAGGCAAAGAAAGGCACCACTTTGCCAATCCCTACTGGGGCCAAACCCACGCTTGTGGGCGTCTTAGGCCTTTTCAATGAAAAAACTCGGAAAGAACACCAACAGTGGTGGGACAAGAATATCACTAATAAATACAAAAATCTCAGCCTTCAGAAAACTATACTCAAGTGCCCAGAAGAGCTCAAGCTGGACAGGCCAACGCTCCACAGGCTTATCGCATCTAGAACTAGTCACGGCAACTTTAGCTGGTATCATAAGAGGTTCAAGCACGAGGAACACTACAACTGCTCTTGTGGGAGAATTAAAACGCGAGCCCACTTTGCTTTCTGCAACAGAGCCCTTACAAAACGGTCTAGGTGGCCACAAAGAAACCGCGGACACAATGGAGAACCCGAACCAGAAGGGAGAGCCTATTGGAGGTGGCTGATAACGCACCCGAAGGACTTCGGAGACTTTTGCAAGTGGACAGAATTCTACACGAAAATCTGTCCTAGGGTTACAGAACATCAATTCATCGACCACCAGGTGTAACTGTGTCCGTTACCACATCTCTTTACTACTTTTCTTATCTTTCCTTATATTTTTATTTTCTTCTAGCTTATAGCCTTTTAAAAGCAAGGCACTAACTGTCAAAGCGAGAGGAGCTCCTCGACGCTATTCGGACTACTGACTACAAACCAGATATCACAGAGCACGAGCCCAAATGGCGGGGCCAACGGAAACTGACGGAATAACATGTGTGCCCTCGAGATTGGATTTGCAGGTTATTGTGGGAAATAGGGAGTCATGCCCTGCTTCCCGTACAGTAAGGCTTGTATATTAGCCCCTGAGATAGTCACCTGCACGCCAAACATCCACAAGGATCTGGAGCCTAGAGCCCCTACGGCGTTAAATAAACTAAACTGAACTAAACCTGCCTTTCGCGAACCTGAACGTCCCTTCTCCTGTCTGTCAGACGTCTTTGACAGCAGGGACGGTGATAGTCACAAATTCCGATAAGGGTTCACTGGACTTATACACGAAAACTTTTGGTCCGGGAGTAAAACCGGCCGTAACATCTACAATGCCTCAAGGGGTTGTTTCACAATACTCCCTCTTCTGGAACTCAACACCTCCAACGTTGAGTGTCTTCATGCAACCGATATTCCTTGGAGGTAATAAGCTAGCAGCCGTATCCCAATTAAGCACAAGTTCAGGTTCGAAAAGTACAAGCACATTCGAAACGACATTGACGGCATCCACGAACGGGGTCGACCATCGCACTGTACCAACCGCATCGAGAAATGTGCAGATCGGTGTCGCTGTGGGCGGTTCCCTTGGCGTTGCACTGCTTCTCTGCCTGGGCTTCTTCTTGTTGAGGCGGTACCGCAGAAAGCGACAGGTCAAAACAGCACAAGGCGACGTGCCTGCAAACTCTCGCGACTATCATGACAAAGCAGAGCTCGCGGGCTATACGGGACGTCCAGTTTACGTAACCAAGGCAGAGTTGGACTCCTCGGCAGCCCGCTCCGAGCTCGACGGGACTCCCAAAAACCACTGCGGAGCCGGCATCTACGTACAGAAGCCAGAACTTGTGGGAACATCCGGGGTACCCGGGCTATCTGGAGTATACGTCAAAAAGTCCGAGTTGGAGAATACCCAAGCCGGCACCAAGTCCCGTATCGATGCTGTTGAGCTCATGGCGTCGTTACCGACGGCAACAGCAACGGATACCTGCACTCTGTCCTCCCCTGAATCGTCCAGGGCCCTATCGCCTCGGGCGCAAACTGTTTCGCCGCTCTCTATTTCAGTGGCCCCAGCTCGAGGGCAGTAACTCATCGCCAGAAGGACAACCCTATCAGCAATCATCGGTTGAGGCCGGGAGTAGACAGGCGTGGATCAGAGATATAGTATAGGGGCTTTGCATCATGTCTTACCGGAGTCGGAGGAATGTCGCCTCAGGACAGCCAATGGGACTGTCGATTATTGATTCTCCGGCATTGATTGTGCAATTCGAGCCTCTGGCACTGGGTTTGTCCAGCTAGGGCGGATGCGGGTTCGTGTAGATGAGCAAGCGTCCACATGCTAGCAGCTGGGCAGATAATTGTGATAGAGAGCTTGTTTGACCATTTGCGGCAATATTCAGTTGGAGTAACAAGAGCGCTTGTGGCCAGCGTTTACAGTGGTGTGCAAAGGCGCAAGGCTAGTTAAGAGGGGAGCATGTCGTGATGTGACGTGATCTTGTCAGCAGGTTAGATACATCAGAAGAAGGGTTTCCCAGGAGAATATTGTCTCGCCTGCATATTTCGTGGCCTACCCGCGTTCGGGAACGTTGGACTGCATGGTCACTCACTGTAGCTGGGCGATCTCCACAACAAAGCTCGACTCCCACACCTTTGGACCAAGCACAGGCAGTGTGCAGGCAAGGTGAGATTTATGTACGAACGAAATCAATCTTACCCTGCGTGTAAATGCGGAACCAGTCTTCAGCGTTTTTTAAAATTGGATCTCGAAGCATGGCTAAACCCGCCCTCGGAGGCGCCCGGAACAGACATGTATCATCTACTGCGGGAGTTTATTCAATAAAGACCCGTGGCCAAAGATGGATCTTTCGGTTTTTTTTACGCGAGATGGAGGAAAATAGGCGGACTCCGCAGTTTCCCAAGAATAGGAGTGAAGTGGCCTCGTGTACATTTGGATCTCTGTGTTGTGACGTATTTGTATATGACACAAAGTTGAGCTTGGGGCCATGTAACCAACAGGCATTTTTGGCTACATCAGCTATCTGTTCCCGACCATTAGCGGTAGCTCTGGTCTTGAAGGCCCCAGAAAAGCGAAACTTGAAAGGATTTCCGGAAACTTCTTCGACCCCGTCTATCCAATACAGCATTCGCAATTTCCAAGATGCCGCCCGCCCATGTACCGCCAAAGTAGCGTGCGCGGGTGACTCGTCTCGCCACAATGTCGGCGAAAAAACCGAACACCCCGCCCCAAACCCGGCGTTTTCTCGCGTTTCCTCCTTCATGCCACGACTAACTCGACGGACGATCGGGCGCGATCCAGATCACGGGTGAACCGTTTGCCTTGGCCTTCTTGGCGAGATTGCGGACAAGTTGACAAGCGCCAGGGACTTTTAGTGTCGTACCAACGACGATCACAGGACCGGGTGATAAGATATTCGTGTCATGGTCGATGACTTGGCTAATCGCTTGAGAGTCATATGGCTCTTCGTTGTATAGTGATATTCTTGGTCGTAGGCGACCAGGGACGGCGGACCGTAGTTGTATCCGCATGTCGTGTCGACGGCGATCCTGTGCACAATCACCTGTGCAGTTTGGAAGATTGTCTTCACCATGGGCCCATGGGAACAGTGAGACCACTCGCACTGCATGAACTCCACACTGCCATGTAGCTGAATGGTCAATGGCCATGCGTCGTTGGTGGCTGTCAAGGGGACACTGGTGCTGAGCTCCTCAAGCCGTGTGTCTAAGCCATCGATATTTTGCGTATATAGCCGTAAAAGTCTTCCTTCTCTTGCTACCGACTGTAAATAGCAAGTGAAAGGGCGTAGGTTCAGCCTCTTTGGTTGCGGTGGCATGACTTCATGGTCATCCATCTGGTCCTTCAAAGACAGCTATCTATCGGGGGCCAGAGGTAGTGATGTGGTGTGATACACATGCATGGGATTAATTGAGGCTGGCTATGAGCCACCCGTGACCACTCATTCACGTACATGCCAGAAGGAAGGAAACACTAGGACGCTAAGCCCATTCTCCGTCCTGCCATCTGAAACCAGAGAACTCGGAGCCGAGCAGCGCGCACATGGCTAGCAGTAACAGCGCCAACAGTTCGCCCTCCCCATTTCCTTTGTGGTCCGCTGGGAATGAGATCCAGGTTTAGCTTTTTGGCTGAGTGGACGGAGTGGATAGAGGCGCTTCTCGAGACTGGATCATTAGCAGAAACGGGATTATTGGCAGGAACTTCTGCTCTCACACAGGGCGACGTCTCTTGACCTGGACTTTAGCCGTATAGCTGATCGTCTAGCCTGGTCGTGTCGGCCGCCGAGGCAGTACTGGTGATTTGCTTTAGCACTAGCTTGTGGATATTGTTGGGCAGGACAGAAGAACCCCAGGTGTGGAGAAGCAGCGGCATGTGTGAAAGCTGAAAGATGCAGTCGTGTTCCTACTTGGACTATTAGATTCATAGCCACCCATGGCCGATCTTTCTCAGCCGCCTCCATCCATAGGTCGCCAGTCTCTGCGGGCTTCTTGAATCTCTATGAGTCATCCTGAAGGCGCCCTCACAGGTTCCAAACCGGCCATGATGCCTCGTCCGATGGCACGTCATCGATGCCTCCAAAATAGAGTTGGCAGCGAACCATTGTTGAGAATATGTCTAACCTGAAACATGCCTTGTGAAAGAGTTAGCCCTGCGTTGCCACTGACGAGAGCGCTATCGACATGCAACTCATCTGGTGGCGCCGTGATCTTCTCGGTGATCGTCTCTCACCCAACGAAACCTGAAAACAGAAGTATAAACCGAGCGAAGATCAGACCACCATGAGGGTAATGCTTGGCTGATAGGCACAGACGTTTTTACCGAGGGTTTATAAAATTGTAAGTGCATAACTTCTTTTCGAACGATACTATAAAGGGATGAACTCTTCACTCAGTATCTAATACAATAACTCGCTTAGATTTTAGGAATGAAGTTAGTATCATTTATTGGGTATAATTATAACTGAAACTTAGAACTTTGTTACTAGTTAAAGTATGAAATTATAAATAAAATAAAGACTATTTTTTTATCAATAAACTCGAGTCGAAGCTATTATTAATTTTCTTTATTATCTCAATATATTTATATATAAGCTTTGTTGTACAGAATAAAAATAAAGTATATATAATAATATTATGATCCAATATATTAAACCAGTTACATCTTAAATAGACGAGTGAACTATAATAAAAGGCCGGTTTTAAAACGTAGTCATTCTTGTTGCCTATGTCACGGCGAGTGGCACCTACGACAAGACAAAGCAGACGACAAGGGGTAACCGACTCTATAGACGAAAACATCGAAGATGAAGAAAGGAAAGAAAGAGAGCTAGATATAGGTGGGAGGCAGAGCCACCTGGATGAGCCCCTATCTAGTGCTGGCCAGGGTGTGATGTAGGTCGCTGTAAATTGCGCTGGTGTGCTGTTACGAACCAACAGGACATACAGGGGAGGAGACCCGCAGCAGGCCAGGATTCATTGGCAGAAAATGAACAGTACCACAGCACACGGAAGAAGGATACTGCGCTACGGGTCACGTGACCAGAGGATAGCTGGGATAGCCAGCTACCCCAGATATTCACCTCATCAGTGAGGGAGAGATTGGAAATATAAGGATGGACATTTCCTAGCTAGAACAGATAGTCAGTCTCTACCTCAGTGATCAATCTAAGCATCTTAGCCAACCCTAAGCGGGGAGAAATCTCCTGACGACTCGACTATTCAGTGAACCCCGGTTCAGACCAAGCCCCAGCGTCTGAGTGTCTTCTAGTTGACAGAAGCCTCTATCGTCTTTTGTGTTGACTTACCTCAGAACATAAACCCTATAGAACCCTTTAGCCTTATAGGTTAGACGGCTCGTCACATGGTGGTGGGGTTGTATCACTACATGAACACACACGAATTATTCTGGAGGCAAACTCCGAAGATGGTCCAATCTTTCACACCAATCCATTACCACTCATACTTCTCCATCATGAGCTTTCCAAATTGCCGAGTTGCGGGTCAAGGTCGCAGCATTGGCCCATGCCCTGGATTTGCGAAGGACCATATCCCTGCTGGTCAGGTCGTCTGGGTGGATTGTTCGGAACAGAACAAGCTCTAGACCAGTCTGTTCTTGGAGGCTCTCTTGTACGTCGCATCCGCTGGCAGCTACTACTCTCGTGAGTAATTGGACTCCAGCGCCCATTAGTTCCAAACCTTCGAGCTGTACAATGAGTTCAGCGTTGCGCCTCCGTTCAACGTTACCTCCAGGGTCGCCGTCTGCAATGGCATCAGACAGTCTTTTCACGTATAGTGCCCCGATCCCGTCGGCGCGACCGTACCGATCTGCCGCACTGTCAAATGTGTGACAAGTGGATGTCCCAGAGAGAACACCGGCCTTCATAGTGGCGATGTGCTGCTCGGCTGATTGGACGAGGTTGGCGCCGGAAACGATGGCGGCGTCACACTTATATTTCTCCAGCGCTGTACAGGCAAGGTGGAGACGACAGAGGGATGATGAACAGGCCGTGTGGATATGTTGCATGCTTTATCTCAACTACGTCAACCCCCGAGTTTCGGCCCTATTACGAGATCGTGTTGGTAACTCGCGTTGATTTTAAGCTACACGATCCAATACGATGGGGGATGTAGCTGTTCGATGCCTTTCATGTGCCTGGCCATCCGACTTGATACTTCGTCAGCTTCCACATTTGAACGCATTGCACACATAGGCCAAATAAACTTCCTTGACCCTTCCCCATTTTCTCGTAATTGTGTGAATGTGAGTTTTCTCAGGTTTCTCAGAACGGAGCTCGCGATGACAGCGAGGCATTCTGCCCTCCCCAGAAAAACCACATCCAACTCTAATTCACTGAGAGCTGGGAGATTACACAGCAACTCCCATGCCCTCCTCAACCCTGTTTCCCCATCAATATCAATCTCTACCCTTGTGATGCCACGGTCGGTTGGGTTTCGACGTATCCCGTAGGGCGATAGAGCAAGCAAGCTGATTTTGCTGATGAAAGGCTGCCCTCGTGGAGAAAGTGTCCTTAAAAAGCCTACGCATTCTTGCGTGTACCCGAAGGCGAAGATTTTGCGTGTATAGAATACTCGACCAGCTTCCGCGTACCACTGACGGCAGAGAAGCAGCACCTGCAGGTTCTGTCGACGGGCGCAGAGGCATGGTAGGCTGTGGGGTATTGGGAAAGGGCGCGGACGAAACTCTCGATCGTAACACTGTGATAAAGACGTCAGCTATTTTTTTCGCGTAAAATCCAAATCTTGATATAATTATTGAGTGTATTGAGTACAATGCAGCTTCGGGAGGACTCACTGTTGTACATAAGAAGGAATTCAGCTGCTCTGGTGCCCAGGCGCTGCGCCATGGATCCACGAAGATTGGCTGGGTTCGGCGGCGCCATCTACGTGCATCATAGAGGAAGGCCGCACATGCATGTTGTCTGGTATCCAGTCGAGGTCGATAGCATGTATATGCCGGACAGGAAGGAGTGTGAGATGCGTCCCACTTCATCGGACGAACCAGTAGCCAAGCAAATATTTCGTCGCGGATCTCGGGACAGAGGTCGGAGAAACGCTCGCCCAGGGTGGCTCCAGTTTTGGTGTTATCTTTGTCGCCCATGATTCGAGAATATAGTAGGGAAATATTAAATCGAAACGTTCAACGAACAGCTCAGTCTTCAAGTTACTATACAAAGAGGACCAGAAGTAACATGGTAATATTCTGATCCAGGTCCGTTTATCGCTTATCTTTTAGTGTTTAGTTATGACTCAGGGATACCGAAAACGGCTTTCGGATTAGACGGTGCTCTCTCCGACTTGGACTGATCTCACCTCCACTTCAGACATTATTCGTATTGCACGTTTTCCCTCTATAACCCAGGTGGAGTCAATGCCTCCCAGGTCACCAATACCACATGCCAATAGCCCATCTCCAAAGTATCCTTGTGCTGTTGCCTACCAGGTTGAGTGTCCGGAGAGACCTCTATGGATAACGTCTGTTTGCGGTGATCAGGAAATCCACGTCTGGCTCGAAACTCCAGATCCGAATTTGGCTTGGGGGCAGAGTGGATAGAGGCGCTATTAGGAACTGGATCGTGAGCAGAAACTGGATTATGAACAGTAACTCCTGCTCTCACACAGGCTGACGACTTGCCTGAATCTCGCCCTCTCGGCGACCGGGAGTCCTGTTATCTTATCCTCGCCGCGATGCCGAAGTTTTCTGAACAATTGGTACACAATAGCACAGATACATGAATTCATGCGAGCAGTAGCTGCCATGGCCGTCGAGCACCAATAGGCGAAATTCATCTTCATCTTTAAAGACAGTGTTAGGTAGGTAGATCTCGGGCTTAATTAGCATGCAATTAATGATAATAAATAAATAAAAATCACCTTTTCAAGCCAGTGCAGCGCGATCTTGTTCGAGGACCAGCCGTTGATGGAGTACGTTACTCGTTACCGGCAGCAGCAGTAGCAGGAATTTACTGATACACATCAGACTCCAATTCGTTAGCTTTCTCCTTGATCCGCTGGCAAGGTACTAATTCCGCGACCGGCATAGTCAAGTCGTTCGGTCTATATAGATACTTGTAATTGTTACACAGCAATAAGTCGATGGCTGGGTCTGTAGAGATTTAGTTTGATCGAGGTCGTCTAGCCTATGACGGCTAATGTGACAGATGAGTACCTAGACGCAAGCATCGCAGCTGATGCGTTCAGTTCGTATCACCCAATAGGTTCCTGCTCGATGGAAAAAGTGGTTGACAGTGAGCTTCATGCAAGGGCGTGGTCGGTCTGCGTGTTGTGGATGCCTCGGTTATCTCAATTGCGATGGGTGCCCACACGCAGGCATCCGTGTATGCCCTCGCTGAGCAGGCCGCTGCTATGATCTTAGGGCGAAGAGCTTCTGAAATGTCCTCATCTTACTGCCCGAAGATGATATTCACATTACCCGAGAGTTTGCCGCGTCGGCCTCGCACTTGGTGATTGGCTAGGATGAGGCAACTCGCAACACTATTGAGCCACGCTCATTGATTTAGCTATCATCAGGTCATATATTGAAAAGCCACTGCCCGTCCTTTCTGCTCCAATAAGGTGTTGTAGTTAGTCAACTGAACGGATTGAAGTCATCACGAAGAGATGCTTTCTTATTTCACCATGTTGTTGTAACTTTTAACGCCAGGGGGTGCTAAGCTAGGTCGTATATTATATACATACATATAGCTGCCCAGCTAACAGGTCTCGTCCGTAAACAGCCACTGCATTTCAACAGCGGTTCCCATCGTGTCCCCACAGATCTAAGGGTTTTGGGGGCGAAGCTATGGTAACTGCTCTCGGTGTTTCCATTTGATCTTTCCGACTTCAAAAATGCGAATGCCCCGGGGAGATATACCTCACCAGTAGTGCTGTGTTCCCCTGCACACAACGCTGCCTTGGCTGGACTTGCGTGGAGGTAGGTTGTATCTAGGCATTCTCGTATGCGTGGGCATTGCTTCAGTGAGTCTCGACTGGCGCATCTCACGTGATGCAATTTTCCATTTTGATACCGCTAGGGACTAAGACTATAACTGTGGCATCTTATGCTGTATTTTATGTGCGTTAGATATAACCAAGAAATGTTCAATCATGTTTACAATGTGACCTTTGAGGATGGTTCACATATGACGTTGACGCAATTTTTTGACTTTCCCGCCATTTTGCAGCCTGTGGTCCAGATCGAGAGTCGATTGATCACGTCAACACATATCTGGGTTTCGTCGAATGTAGTGGATGCGCGGGGGACCATACCTACAGGAGTAAAAACAAACGGCCGAATTACAGCAACGGGGCTCGTGGATCACCAATGGGACATTGGAGGCCGATGCCCAGCTCAAGACACAAAACAAAAACAAGTATTTTTCTTGGCGCCCCGCTGTTAGGGCGCAACCTTGATATTTGCACTAAAGCAGGCATTTCTCTCAGTAACTGACTATCTCTGCCAAGGCACAAGAGAATTTTTCTCACAAGCCGGATGGCACCCTTCCACAACGGGCCCCTAAACACGCCCGTGGCCGTCCCAAAGACGACCACTGGCGGCGTGCTCAAATCCCCGGCCCCTAGAAAGACATACGGCCTGGCAACTCTGAGCAGGCTCCGCCAGGCGCTGCTTGACGACATCAGCAGCAGCCCGTCACAAGTCTCTGAGACTGACTTTACCGTTATTTCCCCTCTGAAAGGAAAATCCCGAAATATTAATGACAGCAGCACCACTGGAATGAAACGACCTCAATTGAACAAAATCTCAACAGACCAAGCCATTACACGCAATATAAAGAATAAAACCTCCTCCTCAGAGTGCCAGGACCAAGTTGCCAGAATACTGGCTAAAGACAAACACCTTTATGAAGCCAGGATAACAATGTTTCAAGAGTGTGCTGCAGCGGTTGATAAGACACTTGAGAAAGCTGGAACCGAATTATACTCTTATGCCAAGGAGTTCAGTGCTTTCTTCTCTAAATGTCTAAATGAGTGGCTAGAAACCCGAGATCCGCCCAAAAGGAATACCATCCCTGGGGGGATAGGGATGGTAAAGCCCACTATGACCTTTGCTTAAGCTGTCTCCTCTAGCCAACGACAGCATCTACGGACAGTCAACACTACCATAAAGAAAACACAGCCTGGCGCCCGCATCACTGCCAACCAACTGAAGAAGAAACAGGATGATCTCCGGGTCTTTGTCCGCATAGATAATAGCCACCTAGAGCCTTACGGAATAAAGCCTATACTAAACAGAAGACTTAAGCTCCACCCTCAAGAACTTAAAGAAGTGACCTGGTGCCCCTCTGGATTTACCTTACACCCAAGGGACAAGCCAACTCAGGCTAAGCTCCTGGCCTTCCAAGAAGAAATCACTGATATTCTCAAGGTAAAAAAGATCGAGACTCACACGGTCTGGCATCACTATAAGGTCAATAGATGCCCAAGAAAGGTCATCAGTGCGGAAGGATTAATAATCGACATTTCCGACATTGCTGTTAATAATGAAATTAAAGCCCAAACAGGTGACAGACCTTTAAGGTGCATACTCTCAAGGAATACAGTTGATTCTGATCTGGAGACCACATGGGTGATCTCTCTGCCCCGTACAGCAAAGAAACCATTCACGCTTTTTGCTCACTCAATGACCTCAAGGCACATTCAATACTCCCCCAAGGTTCACCAATGTGCGAGCTGCTTCAGATACCATGGTAGGAACTACCGATGTGAAAAGCAAGTATGTGCACGTTACGCCAGTACAGTACACCAGGGGGGGTGCAAAAAACCAATCCCAAAGTGTGTCAACTATAAAGGACCTCATGCTGTCAACTTCGACGAATGCCCTGCACGTCCCAAGGTTGTGAAAGG